TAACAATAACCAACACAAAAGGTAGAAAATAGAAGTTGTACTTTTGCATTCATAAATTGGACATTCCTAAGTGCATTCGTGTATCAGTGTGAATACTGTCTCTTATACACATCTAGATGTGTATAAGAGACAGCACACACACACACACACACACACACACACACACACTTTATGGGTGGTTTCTGATGATTTATGGATGAAATGAGAGAGAGAGTGAGTTGGGGTTCTTTGACAACACATAGATCTGAAAATAACACTCACTCACTCCCTCGCAGTCACTCCCACACAGTCAGTGCACGGGTGTTTCCACTGAAGCTCAATGGATGTGAAACGCCTTGACAGTGATGGACTGTCTCATGTATCATGCCTTCACCAATTTGCCACAAAGCACAATGCATGTGTGTGGGTATGCGTGTGGGTGATGACGTGTGCGAGTGAAAACTGTTGTGAAAAATGCTGGCCTTGTACATTCATCCCAATGTATGTATCATTGGCATCATCACCACATGTAAAAAGATCCATAGATCACTGCTACTTCCTGCTTACAGATCAAGTGAGCTTCTTTTTGTGGCAATATTTTAACATAAAGAAACTTAAGAATGCCATTGTGTATGTATTTCCTAATGTGAGCCCAGGGGACAATGTAGGCATAGTGCATGCACAAGGACAGTTAAGAGTAGTGCTATTTTCTGCTTGCAGGTCATGCATGTAAGGGTTGAATTTTGCTTCCTAACGAGCACCACGCGGCAGTGATTGGGACATGTCTATTGTTGCAAGATTGCTCACTGTTCATTTTCGTCGGAACATGGACTGAGCAGAATCAGTTTTTGAGAAGGGCTGCAGATGAGCCGGATCTCCGCCAGACACACAGACTCCATGCTGCATCTTCATTGGTTGGCGGTGCTCTCTTTGTGATCGACGATGTGTACCCGCAAACCCCATTGGTCCATGCAGCGTGGCACTTGGCTGCGGCAGTAGGCGTCTACACCTGCAACAAGCTGCTTGACCAACATTGATTTGAACTTTGAAGTGATGGTGAGTTCTTTGATTCTCCATCTCAGAAAAGAAAAAGGAAAAAAAAGAAAAAAAGCGTTGACAATAGAATCTAAGACGAGATTTTTGAATTTTTCCTCTTCAACTGCCTCTTATGTACTTTTGGCTTGTCGGTGATGAGCAACCGGACTATGCCCCCCAGAAAATAGATGGGGCTTTGCCTTTTTTTTTTTGTGGGGGGGGGTGGGGGAGAAGAAGAATCTAAGATGAGATGGCCCCTGCCAATGGGCTTAGCTGAGTTGGTACACCCCCTCAAACTGTTGAAATGCAGACCTGAGCTCGAATCCAGATGGAAGCAGTTGGAAGTTGTTGAACAAAACTCGTTGAATTACCTGGGGCCAGTCAGTTTCACGATGATATCTCAAGGCTGTCACCCTTTTTAAAAACGAGAAAAGGGAAGGGGGAAAAAAAAAAAAAAAAAGATGAGATGGCCCCTGTGCAGCAGTGCAAGGATGACACGCATAAACTGAGAAACGGTGGGGAAAAAAAAAAAAAAAGATGACTCATGCACTCCATTCAATTCTTGGCGTTTCTTGCACCATGGCCTAAGCTGAGAGGCATTCAAAAAAATAAAGCAAGGGTCAAGTGATGGCGCTTGAGCTTTCCTGCATCCAGCTACAGATGAGGGGGTGAAGTCCAGTGTTTCCCCAATATGTCTCCATGCTGTACATGACATTCGTAATACAAAAGAAAGAGAAAAAGAAGCCATGATATATTAAGCACTTTGCAGTGTTGCACAAACCAAGAACATAAAAATAAAAAAGGGGAAGAGAAAAGAAAAAAAGAAAACGACCGCGGAGGCCCCAATATTCATGTTTGGATCTCTGCCTGCTTCCTGGATTTCTGCCTGCTCGTCAACAGTCATAATCTACGTCAACCCCTGTTGAAAGTGGGAACCAGGCAGGTGACAACTCAAGCAGCAAGGAAATTCCAGCAGCAGTGAAACAAGGGTGGACAGGAAGGGAGTGGGCAAGCGAGCACGAAGGCAAACAGCAAAGCAGGAAGCCAATTAACAGCCAGGCACACAGTAGCAAGCAGGCGAGCAGGCACAAATCCAGGCAGCATGGCAACCACAACCAACTAAGCATCTACAAGGCAATTAAACAGGTAAGCAGCAAAGCCAGGTAGAAGCGCGGGAAGGCAATCGGAGCCAAGGGGGCAGGGTGCCAAATAGCATGGCAGTGGCAACAAGGCAGTCCACACATATGGCATGGACCGAAGCGGACTATCACTTACTCACACGGCAAGTGGAACTCAGAGACACACAGGCATTCTGACCAGGGAAGCTCAAAAAAGCATTCTGAACACAGCAGCTCAGGCAAAGCAGGTAGCAGCAAAGGAAAGGGTGGGTGGGTGAGC